TGCTTTGATGGCAGATGCTTCTTAACAAAGTGTTTTCCCCAATTATAAAGAAAGTACAGCTTTCACTTCTAACTGAAAGAGGAATGGGAGAAGCAGTGCAGGAGTTTGTGGACAAACTGGAAAATGATGCCATAGAAGAGTTGGTGAAGTTTCAACTAGAAAAAACACAGAGGTATCTTAAGGAGCGTCGCACTGATGCAGAGGAAGAAAAAATAGACGAGGAGGTAATATTTTGTTAATGTTAATTCCTTAGGACAGGTCAAGACAGATAATAGAAAAAACAGTGCTCAAACCTGGTTTAATAGACTTGCCTGTGTGTGGAGCATGTGTGACACTCGCCTCTAGTGATTTTCTGGAATTAATAAATATGGTGATCAGGTTTCAAATACATAGTTTAAAGCTTGTATTGAAAATGAGGTTTTGGTATGCTTATACTGATTCTCACTTTATTTGCACATAGAAAAGATCTGTCACTCCAATATATATCTACTGTGAGAAAGATGGCAGATATAACTTCTTCTTAGCTTTTTCATACTGGCTTAGGGAAGAGTATAAGAAAAAGGCAAGCATAAAGGAAACTTTTCCTTCCACTAGGTTCTGACTGCTTGCAGCTCAGGGCCTCCCAGAGAGAAACCTGTTTCATGTGTATCTAGAAACCCCTGATAGACTTCTCTGTCAACCTGCTGAGCTTCCACATGAGCCCATGGGTTCAATTGTAATATTCCAGCATTGTATGACAAGTTGTTCTGCAGTTCAACTGTGCGCTGTGTAAAGAATAATTTGGTGGGAGGAGAAAGGTTGCATCTACCTGTTTCCTTGCTGATTGCTTTAATTCATTAGGAGTTGAAAGAGACCATAAACAATCAATGCCTGAAGGCTTTCTGTGCCACTTGTGGGTTTTTGTTTGTTTGTCTTTTGGACTAGTATCTTCCTTCCCTCTTACCCATCATACCTTTTTCCACACTTGACAAGTTGAGCTTTCTTAGTTGTACATGTATTGCAATGTTTGTCTCTTCTCAATATTGTCATTTTCTTTCTTGCTTCTTCATCTCTACCCCATCTTTTCCAGTTATTCATATTTCACTGTCCCTTATTGTCAAATTATGTATAGTCTCCTCCTCTCAAATGTAGTATCTCCTACTTTTAATTATGGCCCAAGCTGCTTTTTATCCTCAGTGGTATAGCTCCAGTTATTAGTAGAATCTGAGATTCTTATACTGTAGGACAGCATGAAAAGACTCCAAAGAAACTGTTCAGTTATTCTTGCAGTTTTCTTTGCCTCTCGCATGAGCTAGACTTAATCAAGTGATCTCAAGTCTTCTCACTGTGTTTTGATTGTTGTATGAAATTAACTATCATTTTGATGGGAACTCTTTTTATTCAGGTGCGAAAATTTAGGGAGAGTAGAAAAAAGAATACTGAAGAAGAGGAGGAGGAAGTTCGTGAGGTAACTCCTTTGAATTTTGAACATAGGGTGAAGAATGGAATGGTGACTTCTGTGTATGAATGAAGTCACTTAGCTATGCTTCAACATTGTCCTTGCCAAAATGTCCCTGTCTGCCTAGGGAAGATTAGTAAGTCATTTTGAAATTTTGGTTGGTATAATATGTGCCTAAGCTACTGCTCGATTTGGCTTTTGAGATCTCTCTTGTGCAAATTTGTGAACCTGAATGTTCATTTGTTCTTGCTTTGTACTGAGGTTCGACCAGGCAGGTGACCTTCAGAGATCTGTCATCTTAAACTGTTTATGATCTCATCGCCAGTGGATGTGTGGATGGGCTGTACTGAGTGATGTTACTGGAACAAATTGGTATTATTGGTAAATCTTTAGGTACTATTGTCCTCATCAGCAGTCTTAGAGTCTTATATCTCTCAGAGATCCATATCTCAGTTGCATATGTCTTTCCAAAGAGAATTGCCAACCACTGATGGCATTGGTGCTCCTTTGTGAGACTGGAATGAAATATTGAAAAAAGGACACCTGGGGTGAGATTCAGCTCTCCTAATCTGAGGTATCTTATGTGAACTAGTTGTCTTAAGCACCCACTGTCATCAGTGGAGCCCAGAGGGTGCTTCCTTGAGCAGATGTACACAGCTGGCACAGGATGACCTGAACTGTTCACCTAACTCCACTGACAACGTATCATATTAACTGGCTCCATTCTGTTATGAGAACTTAGCTAACTACTTTATAGGTACACATCTACATTAAACAGACTAAATACCGTCCCTGCCTTTTGACAGACTTCCTTGTCTTCCATAAAGCTGTGGATTTGGGTCTTCTAAGCTTCAGTGGTTTAGAAATATGTATCACAACTAGGATTTAACAGTGGTGCATTTCATCTTTTGTTCCATTTCAGGCAATGACCAGGGCTAGAGCCCACAGATCTGAGGATGCAGTTCTTGTCGCAGCCTCCAGCGATGAAGAGTTCATGGATACAGGGATGAAAAGCACTGGTGATTCAGATGATGGTCTTCCTGCAACACTGAGCCGAGGAAGGGGTCGGGCAAGAGGGAGGGTAAGAGCTGCAAGAGGACAAAATTCAGCAGCAAGGGGTTCATCTCGAAGGGGAAGAGGTAAGAAAACCTTAACGTTCTTTGTACTGCAGTTACTGACTTTTTTTCTTTAAAAGGTGACTCTCTTCTGATGCTTCCATCAAGTGGAAATTTGTTGCTTAAGGACTCCTACTGGAAAAAAAATATTCACAAATATTTTTGGTATCATGTTGCATATAGTTGACTGCCTTACAAGGCTTAAGTTGTGACTTTTTCACAGGGTGATTAAAAAATAAATATCTTGCTTCCCAGTTATGGAAACAGAGTAAACTCTTAAAAGATGCGTTATTGGGAAGGCCTGTGCAATGAAGTGCATGGATAAACCTTTGTTACTGCCAAAGGTAATGCATTTGATCAGTATAGAGAAGAGGTACAGATTATCTCTATCCTAATCCAATTCACAAGAGACTTCATTGTTCCTAGTGACTGAGAAAACAGGGACTGTTTCCTAAGCAAAATGAATTAAATAGCTCCTTGGCTATGTGTGATTGTGCATTTTACAATGATAGCAGTACTTCATATATATATATGTATGTATATATAGTATAGCATTACACATAGATATATATATATTAAAAAAAAATAAAAAGATGGAGTTGCAGTAATATACTCCTTTGAGTTGTCTCAGTAATAGGCCCAAAGGTCTAAGAGCAGAATGAGTTGAAACAAAGGCTGTCATCTTAAGACTGATTTGATTAGTGCCTTTAAACTAGTTCTATAAGCATGTGCTCCAACAGTGCTGTGATCCCATCAGAGCGGGGGGGGGGGGCGGTGTGTGTATTAAGAGGCCATGTCTGCTGAGGTTTGAACATCTGAGCCAGAGCAGCTCTTCTGCATGTGAGGGCTTTCATTCAAGGAAGAAAGTGAAGGAGTAAAGAGGAATGTAGGCTTTTAAGTGACATCCCATTCAGTAATGATAGACTAAAGGGCTAAAAAAAACCAAAAAAAATAACCACTGAACAGATTTGTGTATTGTTTATTATCCCTGCAGGAAGCACTAGCCAAGAGTCAGCTACAAGCAGCAGAACCTACAAGCCTGTATCTGTGCCTGCCAAGAATATGTCTATCATGGATGGTAGGCCTTCAATCTGTCCATTACTCTAATCTGCTCTCTCAAATTGAAATGAAGGTGTTTATTTAACGATGAAGTGCCTTAATTGTCTTTAGTCCAATTCAGATGTGAGAGATTCTTTTGGTTCTAATGAAATAGAATAACTGACAGTGATGAGAGAAAGAAAAATGGAGGGGAGAAAAAGAATAGTCATATCCTGCTGTCGTGGGGTAAAGTGAAATGTGTCAGGAGCTTCTGACTAGAACTGGAAATAGGGAATATCTGACTGTATGCAGTTCCTTAAGAAAAAAACATAGAAGGAATGTGACTTAATAGCATCTGTCCTATGCAGAATATTCCTCAATGGATAAGGAGTGTAAACTTGACTGATGTTTACAAGATGGTAAGCTTTAATGTAAATCCATTTAGTCTTATATTATAGCAAGTTATAGAAACACCAGTTTGACTAGGGAATAGAAACTTATCTGCGATTTAAACTGCATCTGTGAGAGTAGCCCTGCCTTGCTACAGAGGACAGGCTCTGAGGAAACAGTGTAGGTAATCTGAGTATTAAAAAAATACTGCTGACAAATCTATACATGAATCCTGCACAAAATACCCAAAGGTAAAGTGAATTTTAAATTAATCAGCAAATTACCTAATTTTTAAATTGCTCAGCAAATGACATAAAATACTGCAGAGAAATCAATTTTAGCAGTTGTGTTAATGCCTAAACTGTCAGACATAGAGGAATACCAGTTCTGGTAATATTTTTCTCTTCCTCTTAACCTTAGTTACTGAAGGTTTTTCAGCCAGACTGAGAAGCACCATTTGTTGCACAGAGAGTTAGATTCCTGGGTTGTCAGATTCTAGCAAAGGGTTAATTTACGTTTTGGTTTGGGTTTGGGGGGTTTTGCTTGGTGGTTGTTTTTGGTTGGTTGGTTTTGTGTTTTTGTTTTGTTTTTTTTTAACAGGGTATTTTGCAGAGGAAATGCATGCTAAGAGGAAATGCATTTTATTGTGTGAACACTTTGAAGATATTATATTTGTTTTATTCTAGCCTTTAAGTCTTTGAAACCAACGGCCTCCTTGAATTCATCTAAATCTTTCTCTGAGGTAAGAAGCATCTTGCACAAGTGAAGTTGCGCTGCCTTTTGCTGTCCTCTGATTTGACAAATAAATCTGTGGTCAAAACATTACCTTAAACCACTAGATGTTCCCAAGCTATCTGTTCCAATAATAGGTTTCTGCATGTTAATTGGTAGATGTTTTGTACCCTTTTCTGGTATGGAGTCGGTCTGAAAAAACCAAAGACCATGTTTTCTTTGTGACCTCAGTCTAAGGTACAGAGTGTATATACATGAGTATTTTGTGGGTTTCTGCAAGATCAAAGGTCTGAAGAGCAAAACTTGTGCTGTATTTGCACATTGTACGGTTCTAGCCTGGAGCCCTGTTATGTGTATGTTAGAACTAAGGTATATAGTTGAAAAAAAAAATTCTCTGCTATAATATTGTAGTACTGTGTACTATATCTCTGTAAGAATAAATTCTGTGAAAAAGCTTTATAAATTATATCATTTTTTCAGGATATTATAGATGATGACTCCGATCTAGAAGACATTTATACTGTTCCTTCTTCCAAAGTAAATCAAAGGTTGGTATGTTTAAGGTCGGTATGGAGCACCTCTCCTATGAGGACAGGCTGAGAGAGTTGGGGTTGTTCAGCCTGGAGAAGAGAAGGCTCTGGGGAGACCTTAGAGCACCTTCCAGTACCTGAAGGGGCCTACAGGAAAGATGAAGAAGGACTGTTTATCAGGGACTGCAGTGATAGGACAAGGGGTAATGGGCTTAAGCTAAAAGAGGGTAGATTTAGACTAGATGTTAGGAAGGTGGTCTTCGCTGTTAGAGTGGTGAGGCACTGGAACAGGTTGCCCAGAGAAGTTGTGGAGGCCCCATCCCTGGAAGTGTTCAAGGCCAGGCTGGATGGGGCTTTGGGCAATGTGGTCTAGTGGAGGGTGTCCCTGCCCATGGCAGGGGGGTTGGAACTAGATGGTCTTTGAGGTCCTTTCCAACCCAAACCATTCTGTGATTCTGTGTTTACTTCATGAATGCTAGCGTGACTGCCTTATTTCTGATTTGCAGTCAGCAGAGTCCAGGGATCTGATCCACTACCTGAAAAAAACAGATTTTTAAGAAAATCATAACACTATTTAGTGAATTTACATAAATTTTTACCTATTAATGTGGATGATCTTTGTATAACAATAAATTGGTCTACTGATTGAGATAAGCTAGGTCAGAGTTGTATAACAATAAATTGGTCTACTGATTGAGATAAGCTAGGTCAGAGTTGTATAACAATAAATTGGTCTACTGATTGAGATAAGCTAGGTCAGAGTTTTAGAATTAATATGTTTGAGGATTTGAATTGTTCTGCTTACTGTTATTTCTGTTCATTCTTAATCTCTGTATTGGTGGTCCAAATCTCAGTTGAAAGGGAAAGTTATTGGAATGTCTGGTAATTGAGAACACACTGATGCTTTTTTTCTTTTTTTTTTTTCCTCTCTTTGTATGTTTGAAGGTTGTCAACTACATCTTCACTTAGTAAAAGAGGTTCACAAAGCCAGACATCTAGAGGAGTTGATTTTGAGTCAGATGAGGTATGGTTTATAGTGGTCTCTTATTTTGTGTAAATTTCTGTAGCTTACTGTTTTGCAGTTACTTCAATAAAGCATTTCAGAGTAAAATTGCTTTTTTTTTTTTTTTTTTTTAATTTTTACTAACAGGGCTAGATTATTGCAACCAGATGTAATTAGAATATAGACATAATCCTCAAAAATAAGGCTAGAAGGGACCTCAGAAAAATATCCAGTCCTTTCCCCCTTCAATTCTTAATCAGTTATTTTTCATTCCTGAAAAGTGTGCAATGTTGCCTGGGGAAGAAAGTAAACATATTCTCTTCTAGTGCTTGGCTATGTCCTTTCATTTGTTTATGTATTTTATTCTAGTAAAAAAGAATTTTATTTTTTTGCATTTAAAAATGGCTATTTTCTGGGACACTGTTGTTTTATTGTTGCAAATTATGTGTACACTTTAAAAAAAAAAATTAAAACTGTCTTCAAGTTTAAGATGTCTGTTCAGGCAGTGTGTATCTGAACTGCTAGGAAATTATTTCTTCCCTAATTAAACAAGTAGAACTTTATTCATAGTTTTGCACTGAATAGAATACACATTATACTGTCGAGCACTGTGCAGTTTGTTTTCACAGACTAGCAGACTGTCTTGTATGGTCAGGATCCCCACCTTAATGGCAGATGTTGACCACTTACAAGAAAATGTTAAATTCTTGTCCCCTCTCTCCACTATGCTGTCTCTTCTTTTTGTGTCTGAAATACCAAACTACGTGTTTGCCTGAACATGCAAAAAGAAACAGTATTTTTTTTGTTCTTGCAAATCTCAGTAAATTATGATGAGTGATATGTATGTGGACATAACTTCATTGAGGTATGCGCTGCTCCTAGGTCACACCTGAAATATAGATTGTTCCTTGTTTCAGAGTAGCTGTTCTGATCATATTGACTTAAACTCAGTTTCTGTTCTCTGCACATTTATGATCTGGGCTTTTAGATCAATGGATAATCTCTTTCATATCAAAACCAACAAAACCAGGTCTGTGAGAAAACATGGAATAATGTGACCAGGCTTTCTAGTTTAATGTAAAGGTGACTTGACTTTTTATGACTCAGAATGCATGCTAGTAATACATATCAATTTACAAATTGCAGGATGAATTTGATCCATTCAAAAGCACTGCAACATCAAGAAGAACTAAGTGATTTCTGGCTCGCTATACAAGAGGGAAACATGGAAGTTAGTGAAGAAAATGGAAAGCGGTTTGCAAGGCATTCTGTATGTGACATCTCTGTAAATGATGGCTTGCCTTCATTTTTCACTTCTATGAAATGTTTTTGGTTTGGGTTGTTTGGGGTTTTTTTAAGTGGAACCAAATTTGGTATAAATTGGGTGTTGCATTGCTTGATGCATTGGACTAGAGTGTCTAATATTCTGAAGTACTGCCTGAAACTGCAAGTTCTTTCTGAAACTTCTAACAGCCTGTTTTCTGGGATGATAATGTAAATAATAATCATATCTTTTATAGAAAACTCCATCTCTTCGGCTGGAATTTTTTTAAAGCAGTAAATTCATAGTAGTATGCAAGTATGGATATGGACATGGACTTGGTCAGCATAATGAAACTTGTACTTATTTGCAGTTTTCCACGGATACAGTTGAAAACTCTGAAGAGTAATAGTTTGACCCAAAAATACAGTTTTCAGTATTGAAGCTGGAAAATGTTCTATACTTTCAACTTTACTAGGAGAACTAAACCCACTGTTGCAGTTATTAAATGCCATAGTATGTAGGAATGAATTCTGCTCTGTAATTCAAGAGCTACCAAAGACTTCAGATTGAGTTTTACATCTTATTCACTTTTACATCTTATTCACTGCGTTAAGGGCTAGAACCTTACAGCTTCACTAGGAATGCTGCTTGAAGAATAAAGCAATCGAGCCAGTAATGGGCAGGACACCTTTTTGTTAGCTGACATTTTTCAGGTATCTGCTTCCTCAGCACGCTTCAGTAACCCTTCTAAAATGTCATCACCATTTTCCAAATATTCTCTAAATGAGGCTTTTAAAATACAGTATTGTATTCAAAGTGCGGGAACCACTCCTTCTGTTGAAGGAGCTAAGACCTAGACCTATTCCTCCTTCCCTCTTTCCCCAAAAAGTGTTTATCTAAAGTGTTAGAGCTAATCAAAGAAAAGGCCAGAAGAGTTCATCAGCTAATGCCCCAGCATGTCAGAGAAGCACTAGATATATTGAGTAGCTGCAGCCATGCCTTTGCAGTTTTACTTTCTTCTTCAAAGAGATGGGATTGGGCAATTGTGTTTCTCTAGCTCTCACTGAACGTGACTGTTGTTACTTTGCATGTGTGCTGTAGCAGGGAACCTAAATGAGCCTTGAGTTTCCTGAAGACTTCTATAAAATGATCAAGACCTGCAAATTTCTACTGTAGACCTTAGTAGCAACTTACCAAGCAGTGCTATCGCTTAAGGTATCAGCAAATAATTTGGTAGTCTGGCTCTTTCCTTTCACTAAGGGCTGTAATTCCTTTCATCAAAGCTATAATATTACCTATGAAATTAAAAAGCTGCTGTAAATACCCTTCAAGGTGAGGGTTTAGAATTTTTTTTTAAATAAACTATTTCTGTTAAGTAAATTGTGAATGTCAGTTGTATGGACTACATTGAATTGAGGGATTGAAATGTTTAAAACACTTTGCTGCTTTATGTAGCTATCCGTATGTAGTAGCTCTGGCTGGGGTGGAGTTAACGTTCCCCGTAGCAGCCCATGCAGTGCTGTGCTCTGCGCTTGTAGCTAGAAGGGTGTCGATACCACACCAGCGATGTGGCTGTCTCTTCAACACCCCTGCAAGGGCCGGTAGGCTCAGCTGACCCCAACTGACCAAAGGGATATTCCATACCATATGGCATCATGCTCAGCAATAAAAGCTGAGGGAAAAGAGGTGGCGGGGGACGGATGGATGGAAATAACACTTGTTATTAAGGTTTTTCATCTTATTTTCTCCTGCTGAGGACGGGGAAGGAGCAGCTTGGTGGGCACCTGGCAACCTTCTAAGGTCAACCCACCGCAACAAATTAAACCTGTTTTGTTATCAAGGCTTCAAAATCACCTAGTTTGTTGTTTCATTAAGGTCTTAAGGGGACTTCGAGCAGTTCTCGAATTGTCTTGTAGAGAAGATAAAGATGGCATCCTTCACTTTGGGAGGAAAATGTAACCTGGTGTGTGTGGAAAATCTGTACAGTAAACAGATACTTGTAATCATTAATGTGATTTGTTATACAAGGGCGGGAGGGTAAGATGCTCAGAAAATCAACACTGTTTCTCAGAGGTCACACTGGATAGTTTTCCAAAAGTCACTTCTCACTCAGGTAACTTCTAATCCACCTGCCCCAGGAAAGCTTAAAAATTCAACAAAGCTGCAGTAGTGAAAGAAAGATTGATTGATTGATTGATTGATGGGGCTTTGGGCAACGTGGTCTAGTGGAGGGTGTCCCTGCCCATGGCAGGGGGGTTGGAACTAGATGATCTTTGAGGTCCCTTCCAACCCAAACCATTCTATGATTCTATGATTGTTCCCAGGGAAATAGTGGGGGGATGGATGCACACTCTGCTGTGTATTTAAAAAGGAAAAAAAAAAAAGGCTTTATTCCTTTTTTTGAATGCTTCCAAATTGCATTTTTTTTTTTATATTCCTCTTACAACCTTTTTTTTTTTTTACCAGGCCTGTTTTCTAATGTATTCTAATTTTGTTGAGTTCTATTGCACAGATGGTTTTGATGACTTTTTTGATTACCTGAACTCATGAGCTGTGTAGCTTTATTTCAAACAATTTCTAACTACTTTTCACTTTGTAAACTACAATATTTCATAGATACCTTTTACAAAAACCAAGTACAGCCTAGCAAATCCTGACATTCCTGTGCAGCTGCTCCCTGCACTGTTCCTGGGGGATAGTGGAGTGTGGTGAAGTCAGCAGGAGCAGGTACCAAATCTGCAGCTGACAAACCTACTACAGCCTGTTCTCTAGTAACACCCACATGTAGATGAACTGTTTAGATAGTTCATACTGGGATATGTTTAATTGCAAACTAAACCAGAAGGGCACGCAAGTGATGTGGGGAGCACAGGAATCCTCAGCCTGGCTAAGGAGGTGAGGAGAAGGCCTCCTGCTCTCCTGGAAGCACCTCGTCTTCGAAGGCAACAACGAATCTGGCTATGCATGCGAGGGTACCCTGCTAGAAATGCAGAGTTACATCAAGAGAAAATAGACAAAACTAGTATTTTTTTTCTGGAACATGGATTATAGTGCAGAGGAACAGGATCTGATAGATGTGGAAGAATAAGAGCTGGAGTGGCAGGAGATGGAACACCCTTATGCGTTGGCCAGCAGCACTGAACGGGAGGGGGACTTGGGAGCTGCTGGAGCAGCCTGGCGAGAAGGGGCACGTGTGCCACCAACCACTCTGTTCTCACCCCAAGCCCACACCAGAATGCTGCCCTGTCCCGTTTGATGCCATTTCCCTGGGCCTTTAGGTTATGTAGTGAGACTCTCTGTTTTCCTGGCAGCATCAGATTGGGGACATCCTCTCTGGTCAAGCATTTCTGAGCTGGACACCGATTTCTTCTCTCTGGTCACAGGTGACTGCCACATTAGCAGCTCCAGCAGGTTCACTGGAAAGCTTCCTCTGAGACAGGCAAGCTACTGAAAGAGCTCAAATTGGACAATTTATGGGAGAAATTGATGCTGGCAGCAGTTTGCAGAGGAGCACTGTGGGCTCGCCATGCTGCTTGTGCAACTGTGTTCAACCCTGAGCTGCAGTGAGAAGAAAGTGGTCTGAGTGGTTTACTGGGGGAGTCACGAGCATTTTCTGGAAATGTTATTTCACCAGTGAGCGACTGGCTTTATATTATAAGCTTCTCAGATAATGGTCTTTTAATTGATGATTAAATAAAGCCTTTTCTGTACAAAAACTGCTCTGGCCGGGGTGAGTTAAAGCCACCCAAGCAGAGTTGTCCCCAGCAGAGGGGCAGCGCCTTGTACGTGCACTCACGGACGGGCACGTCTTTCTGTGCTGTGTAGGACTTGTGGCTCTTGGTGTCCTGCTACATGTCTGAAATTTCCTAGTATGTTTTTTGGGGGAAGGCACAGGGAACATGCAAGTTGCTGTCTCACCAGTGCTTGCGTCCAGCATACAGCTGCTTGTTGCCTTGGATACTGGACTCACTGGTCTGGGATGTCCCTTCCCATCCTCTGTCCCATATAATCACCTCTTTGTAACTACCTCTGAATTTCTACAAAGCCTAGAAAGCACAGTTTCACATCAAGCTTTTTATTCCCTTGGCCAAGAGGAAATCCCTGCCAAGGCAAAGCTTAAGTATTTCTCTGTCTCTCTGAGGGGGAAAAAAAGGTCTTTGGAAAAATACTTTAAGTACAGTAAGCCAGCTTGTTATTCACGGTTCATCTGTTCTTCTCCTATTTTCTGCTAGTTAGTAAGTGTCATGCTGTGAAATAGGCTGAAACTTGCCTACCAGACCTTTAAAACTGAGCTTAAATTTGAACTGTGTCCTGGAAGACAGTGGAGCTGCTATATGTTCTGCTGATTTATAAACAGCACAGAATTTGCATGAGCTGGGCTACTGGTAGAGAAAAAGGATGGTGACGACCAGAGAGATTGATTTGCCTTTCTCACAATCTTATCTCGGAGTAGTGCCCGGGGGAGTGTGACTGCGTGGAAAAGCTGCACGTCAGAGCAGAAGTAATGTCATGCAGCCCAATGGCTGCAGAAGATCCCGTCTCGGAGCTTGGCTGGGGGTATAAAGCTGGCTGAAGGAGCAAAAGTAACGGCGAGCCGAGTGGGAGAGGAGCCCGCTGTGGGAGGCTGGAGCGTCTGCCTGCTCCCGTTGCTTGTGCGCGGTGTTTGCAGCCCCCCAGCACGCCTGGGCTCAGCGAGGGGAGGACGGCTTTCCCGGCACACGGCGTGAGCTCTGCTCCCTTGCAAATGAGCTGTTTCCAAATTGGAGGAGCAGAGCAGCGTTTGAGATGCTGTCCTGTTTTGTCTGGCTCTCTCTCCCTGACTTGGTTAACTCCTTTGCAACCCCAGGAAAGTTGCCACTCAATGGGAGTCTGGAGGAGCCCTTTAAAATCCCAAACATCTCGGGTTTCTTTTCCTGGGATAACAACAGCCTGG